GCACTCACACGAAACTTAATCTATCTAATGAGACAAGTTTGGACTCAATTCGGTGGTCCAATTTAAAATTAGACACTTAGGTGTAAAAAGTCACTTTTTCTTTTAAAATTTGCACCCTTAACGCTCAATTCACATTCATTGTTTCATTAGATCACTTTAGGCATTGAACCAAATCTAAAAGGACCACCTATACCTAATTGACACTTCTAATCACATATATCACATCATTTACTTATTTTGACCTCTCAATGCCATATTACGTACTTGTGGACTTATATGAGGCACAACATATAAACACTTATATACACATAGACTTGTTTCATTTTCAATCATCCAACTCTTGCATATAGGGCTCCACCTTACCATATGATTGGGAATTAGAATATACTCAAGTCTTCCAAATGGGGCTCAGCCTCACCATTTGTGTCAAGTTCTCACATATATATAAATCATAACATCAATTTCACACACACATACATTTATATATAAGTGGAACAAGTTCCAAAAAGATATACACTTGCTTGATTCACATCTAGGCCTACTTACGTACTCATCACTAGGGCACCCTCGGCGAGATGCAACATCATGTATATGTACAAGCAAGTTTTCATTCACAGTTCATATACATATACATATTCTTTCCATATACACATGTGCATCCTAGTTGGCAACTCAGTTATAACATCTTATTATACATTTATTTATACAAATAGCAGTCATACCATTGTTAATTGATGCTACTCTTTCCTTACTTCCTTTCTAATCTTCTCGTGCTCTTTTCACTTATGTGCAAAGGTAACGAAGTGAGATATATATTCCAGTAACTTAAATATAACCCTAATTATTGGTTAGTAAGAAAAATCATAAACAAGAGATAAAGTAGCATGTGTTTCAATAAAAATAATATCATATGAATATACAAAAATTCATTCTTGTCAATCTCATTATGCTCATGCTCATGCATTCTTGGTTCCACCTAGTGGAGCAATCTTTATACTCGAATTAGGACTTCCAATTACATAGAATAGAGCCCACCATACTACTATTCAAAGAAGGTATCTTCTTCATGTATGGGTGGTCTCCTAGGCCTATCGTGGTGGAGTGAAGCTCTATGCTCAGAATCATCAGGACTTCCCAGTGTTACAAAGAGTATGACCATGACCCCCTACCCTAGCCTATAGTATACTCATAGATCATTCTATACCCTAGGTTTGTCGAGGCAGAGTTAAGCTCTATGCTCAGGATCATCAAGACTTCCTAGACTTACTCAGAGTAGAACTACGTCCACCTACTATAGTTTAGGGTATACTCACAGATGCAATGCACATGTCTATGTGTATGTCCTTTTAAGTTCATTTCACACATTACTCATACACCCACATGCATATTCTTTCACAATGCTGCTACTCTATTAGTTCACAAAACACAATGCACATGTTTATACAAGATACTTGTAAACAAATTCACCAATGAACAAGTAAAAAAGTTAATCCAGTTACCTTTAAACCTTACTACTAAGGTTTACCAATCACAAAAGACTTCCAAGGTGCAGATTCTCATGAGCAACTTCTCAAATGCTCAATCTACACAACATAATATCCTCAGGTCAATTCTCAAAACTTAACATAAGCATGGTTTTGGCTAAATGGAATCCCTTAACATACCAAACAGTTCAATTAACACCTTCTGAATTCATAATTCCACTATCTATAGTCATTGGCCCTATAGGTTATTCAAATGAACATAACAACCTCCTAACACATTTCTTCATTAAATTTCACCATTTCAACCTAATTATTTGTGTTATTTGAGTCTAAATTCTCAAAACTTAACCATATAACTCCAAACTAGTCACAAAACATTAGTTTTGTATTCAATATCTCTTTTTAAACCTTTCTTTTAGATTTTAACACCTTAAAACTTCTCGATTCGATTCTTCAACCGATCAAATTCAATAAAAATAGGGTAGGAATAAAGTTGTGGCTATACAATACTTACCTAACAAGTCACTAGCCGAAGCTAACTCCTAATCACTGGATAACTGATGCCTTAACAGAACAAAACCCTTATCACCTCTCATATGCATTTTTTCCTTCCTTCTCCTTGTGTTTTCATGATTTGACTTAACCCTTAAGTAAAAATTTTGTGTCATGCACTATGGAGCATGCAGCTTCTGTCGCATCACATGGCACAATGAATTCAATCTCACTTATACTCGCGTGTTATGCCCCAGATTATCATTTTACCATTTAATCCTACTAATATAATAGTCAACCAACACAAAATATCAACTCAACATCTAAACCACAATCAATCCACTAATTACTAATTTACCCATGATTCTAGTTCCTTATATTGAAATTCAAGATGTTACACTATAGTTGAAACAAGATTTAGCTCAATAACTGTGATGTTGAAGAGATTTAAACTTTTCAAACTTCTTTTTGTACACTAGTTATTAGTGAACAGTAGAGTGCTTATAAAGATGATGATGTTGGAAAGGCTGCTACGATTGAAGACATAACTCTTAATGATCTTTGGTGGGAGAAGGTTGATTATATTCTCTCTTTCACTAAACCAATTTATGATATGCTAAGGTTTGCTGACATAAATAGACCCACACTTCATTTGATTTATAAGATATGGGATTCAATGATAGAACAAGTCAAGGAATCAATTTTTAAGCATAAAATAAAATCACTTTTTGAGTACTCTTCATTTAATGAAGTTGTTTACAATATCATCATTGATTATTAGACAAAGAGTGTCACTCCACTATATTGTCTTGCCCACTCATTGAATCCTAGGTGTGTTATTCTTATTTCTGTTCATGAAATTCTTTTCTTTATCATTTTTACATCACAACTCCAATTGATGTTATTATATTATTGTAGGTATTATACAACACAATGGCTCGAAGGTGTACCAAATAGAGTCTCTTCACATAGAGATGCTAAAATATCAACCGAGAGGAAAGAGTGCCTTAGAAGGATGTTTTCAAATGAAGAAGAGAGGAAATTGATTAGAATGAGTTTCCAAAGTTTTTTGGATGTTTAGATGAGTACCCTTTTGTTGATTCCTTACAAGATAGATGGACACTAGAACCTAAAGTTTGGTAGAGCAATCATGGTGCTGATGCTCCTAAACTTCAAGGGATTACATTGAGACTTCTCAATCAACCATGCTCACCATCTTGTTGTGAAAGAAATTGGAGCACTTATTCTTTTGTTCATTCACTAAAGAGAAACAAGATGCTTCCAAAAAGAGCAGAAAATTTAGTTTTTGTTCATTCAAATCTTCATCTTCTTTCAAGAAAGAGTGACAAGTATTCTACTGGAGAAAGTACATTGTGGGATAATGGCGGAGATTGTTAGGAAATAGATGATGCTAAAAGTTTTGAAGTTGCAAGTTTATCTCTAGATGAGCCAATTTTGGAGAGATAACTTATAGGAGAAAGCAGTGGTGTCAATGAAAATAGAGAAGATTGGAATTAATTTAAGTTGATTATTATCTTTTGCCATTTGTTAATGCTTAAGTGCTTAACTGCTTATTATATTGTATTTTGTGATGGCATTAGACATCTTGAAATTGTACTTTTGGACATCTAGATATTTAATATTTAATTATATATATAGCCGTACCAGTATCCTAAAATTTTTAAAAATTGCTGTGTCCACATATCATATCATATGGTATCGTATCGTACCCAATACTCATACCAATATCGGTGCTTCTTAATGCAAGACAACACAACTCCTCTCAAAGTATTTATTTTGTATGTATGAAATTCTAAATTTGTTTTGAATTTTGGAAATAATATAATGATAATTGGATAATTCTTTTAGGCTGATATTTGTGGCAAGCCCAAAGAAGTTCGTTTCGAAGAGAAGTTTGGATAAGAAAATATTTTGATCCAAGATAACATTTCTTTAATTCTTGTGATAACATTGTTTGGTTAACTTAATGTTATAAAATTTAATACCATGAATTGCCAAAAAAAAGATTTAATGAGATGTTAATTTGCTTGTATGATAATTTGGCCCCATGTATGTCCATACTTGATGACTTTTTACAAATTCATAGTCTAAGTTTATTGATTTTGAGTGAACCATTATTGCTTAAAGCTTGAAGTAGAGTAACGCTTTTGAGATATTTAAAAATCTCACTCTTCTCTGTGTCACAAATAATCAGTGTAGGTTCATCCAAGAACCAAGGCAAGAAGAGAGAGCAGTGAAGACTTTATCTTTTTTACCTTACTTCCTAATTATGTTTTGGTATATTTTGGAGTTGTAATGTATGTGTTTGTATTTCCATGATTTAATTTTGAGTTGTAACTATGAAAATAGGTTATAAATATGTTTATAGTTCAATTACAACCATGAATAGACTCAGTATGTGAACATTTTTATGTATGGTGTGTTGTAGTATTTATCCAAGGTAACAAGATTAGTAAAAGTGTTGTAGTAGCTATATGCTGATTATTGTCTTAGTTTTGGTCATATATAGAGGACATTTCAAGCATCAAATGAATTTAGAATTGTATAGTAAGAGATATGATCTTTACAAGATCAAAAAGTCTGGAAAAAAAAATTATGGTGGTAACTGATACCGTGATTAATGAAAATTCCTCAATAAATATTTGATTAATGTTTGAAGTCAAGAATTATTTTTCCCTTGAAGAGGACTCTCTAAGATTGATTTAGACACTTAAATCACCTCATTATAATTTTTATAGAATTGGTTATGAATTTTGTAAGTTGATGAAATATTCTGAAAAATGCATGTTTAAAAATCAAATTAGCATTTTCAGCTTTTGCTCTTTAGTATTTGATGATCATCAAGGGTTAGCAATGATCCTTATGAGTACTTGTTTAAAAGAGTTAAAATATATGGGATGTTGCAAGTGGCGGTCTGACCTTCCTGAGTTGGTATGGATCTTAAAACATTGGAGACAAGAAAGTTCAGCTAATTTGTAAGTGCATAATGACAAGAATACAGAATGAGGCAAGGAATGAGAAGCCTTTACAATTGCTATTTCACTATATATTATATAATGACATCTTGATGCTCCTCCTGATTAGTCATCACTACTACAGTAGCATCAACAAATATGAGCAATATATACAGCTTTGTGGACCAAATCAAGGTGTAAAAAACCAAGAAAATCAAACAATTCTTTGGCAATAATCAACTAACTATATCATTTTCGTTTAGCTTCTTGTGTAAACTGAAAGTCTTGTTTCTGTACTTCATCCCCAGAATCACCTGACAAAGGATAAGGATCTCAGATGTTAACATAAGCAGTTCATGATTGATTAAACTGCCAATTCAAACTATGATGAAAATAACCTCTAATGATGGAAGCTGAAAAACCCTTCAGTATCATAAAACTTAGTACTTAAACAAGAACATTAAGTGTAGCAAGTCGTTTATAAGAAACATAGACAGACAATAGACAGGCAATAGACAGGCAATATTCTCTTAATCATTGATATTGTTCGCCAAATTTTATCGTATATAATCTCAAGAATGTTGAAACAATGAACAATTTCATTATCAAATATTTGTTGATTTGTTCACACATCCATATATATCGAATGACGCATGGTGTCCTTAGATTTGTTGCGAAAGAAGTAATAATTTAAATTTCCAAATTTCATCTTAATTTCAACGATATTGTTCATGATTTTAACATTCACATGATTATCTCAGTTAAGATTAGGGATCAAAAAACTGGAGGATAGTAAACTATGAACATGCCATTCCACAATTACCTCAGAAAACTATGAAACTACAAGTTAAGCATACTTTTGAAAATATTTATTATGACTCAGACAATAAAATTATGATTTTAACATTCAAATGATCATTTCAGATAAGATCAGGATCAAAATACTATAGCATAAACAAGCCACATTGGAATAAATGATACACTTTCAATGAGAATAATGACTATTCAGTCGTCAGATGCAGAAACAGTCAGCACTGTACTATTGTGTAAAAAAGGATTAAACACATACAAGTTACCACCTATACATCAAAAATCAAAAGGAAACAGAGCTAATCATGCTTCAAGAAACAGTTCATTTTTCTTAAAAATTTACTGAAGAAAATAAAAAACTGACATAAAGAGATAAGTTTGATAGCATGCAGATGTCAATCCGTATAAGGACATTTTTCAGACTTTCAGAGTACATCAAGATTCGGTACCCTTGAACATTTTTTTCCATCGATTCAGCCCCAAAATATATATATATATATATATATGCATCAGTTAACTTCTTCAATCTTGAACTTTCACACAATCCAGAATAATTGAGCAATTCAACATTATGTACATTTAGGACTTCAATTGAATTGAAATTTAGAAACTGCCCAGTCAACAGACGCAAATATTCTTTAACAAACTAATTTAATGTCATAACATATATTTCAAGGATTAAAATTGGAGTTTATTCTTTATTTTTATGCTTGTTGCTCTAGTCTACTTATTATTATTATTTTTTTGGACCAAAAGCCTACTCATTTAACACTTTCAAGTTAATCTAGGTCTTTATTCCTCTGTTCTTGTTATTTTGCATCTGAACAAGAAAACACAGGTGTAGAACAAACAGAAACTTGACAAAAGACTTGATACTTTTCTAATTTGCAGTGTTTTAGAAGACTGCATTAAAATATCTTCTAAGCAAGATCATGGATAAGATATTGATGTGTTTAAACATCCCCTAAGTGATCCAGGCAACATGTAAAGTTCTTTCTGACCAAATCCATTAAGTTCACAAATGCCATGAAACATAATTAAACTTTTCCTCTTAAGATCTTGAAGCCATATCCAGAACATAACCCTCACGTGCTGTCAACTATACATCAACATGAAATCCAAACCTTAACACCATACACTAGTAACAATACCTCTTTTGAGAGATTGTGTGATATAATGAATCGTGTAAATCATCACGAATTCCAACTTTTGATTGTATTCCTACCATTAACTCCTTTGTTACATTCTTAGTTGGGTAAAAAAGAAAAAAAAAATCCTTTATTTAGTTTCATATATAAAAGTTCATGTTATCTTTTAACTAGAAAAGTAGTAATATAAAGCCCCAAAAAAAACAAAAATTAGTAAATATAAATAATTCATGTCTCAGCTTCAGACCTGTTGAGAGGTAAAGTCTATGTAGAAACTGTTGCTTGAGTTCGAAGAACTTGCTGCAAAAATCGTGCTGCAAGACGTTGGCTGATCCCACCCACAACACGTCCACCAATTCTGCGTGCCTCTGGCTGTTGAAGTACCTGCTCGTGTAATTTTGTACAGTTCAAGTATTTCTGGTTAGATTCAACCAAAACATTTCAATGGCTTAGAAATTTAGAATAAATTAGATTCTTTATGTCAATTTCAGGTATGCTTTATATAAAAATTCAGAAAAAGCCAACACCAACGTTGTCATAAACTGATACACATTCAATCTACTATATAATGGCATTTATACATAGTTTAACAAAAAGTATACCAATTTAACAATAACTAACAAATAATTAAAGGCAGAGGGGTATGAGAATATAAAATTTACAGAAGTACAATGGTGCAGTAAATGATGACCCTTACCTGTACTATAGGTAGCAAAAGAGATGGATCAAAATCATCAGAGGATTGGAGAAGTCTCCATACCCTTAGCACTTGATCTCTAAGTTCTACCAAGCTTTTCATTTCAGCACTTGATGTCACAAGGGGTCCACTTGCATTGCCATTTGGAATAAGGGTTCGCACAAAATCAGGAAGGGTGTTGTATGAATCAGATATAGTGCTGAGGGTAAAAGCTTCAGTCGCACGAACTGCTTCTTTGATAACCAAAATCCTGAGCTCTTCGCCCTCTGGACTCAATAATACCTTTAGGATAGGTTGTAAAGCCTCTCGAGCAGTGAAATCTCTGTCCTTTCTGCCCTGATCCAGCAGGTTTTCAAGTCTACCCCACCTGAAGTTGACTAGATTAATGGATATTTAAGCGCGTGCATACTAAGCATGCTATATCCCCAAGTATAGAATAGGAGACATATTTAAGATAGTAGCAGAATACATGCCTGAACTTCCCATCCTTGAAAAGCAACTCAATAAGAGCATCTCTAAGATAGGGATTTGGATCTGTTAGGAGCCTCTTAGCAAAATATGGGTATGATGCTGCAAGCACCTTGAAATTAGGATCAGCATAAAGCGCCAAGCCTTCAAGAACAGTGAGAGACCTCAATATTAAAGCATAGTATGCAGGGACTGCCAAAAAAAGTACAAACCATCAGAGTCAGACTATAGAAAAAGAAAAAAGTGTAGAAATAGAGTAGTCCATGTCAATGGAAGTGCAATAGCTCTTCAAACATCAAAGATGAAAGAAAACAGATGAATCTATGTTTCAGTTCTTTCTATTATAACTACAAACTTGCTAACATTACCAGAAAGATGTCTTACTATATGGATCTAATGTCTACCAGCCAAAAAAGAAAAAAGAAGAAAGAAAAAAGAATAAAGGATACAATTTCGAAATGACTAAACAATAGCTATACAAAAACATAGTGGAAGAAATGAGAAATCAATCACAGCATAGCATTATCTCACCATTAAATGGATATTGATACAAAACATTTCCAAGACCATCCACTAGAGTCTTGAAGTTAAGCTCGCTCACAGTATAATTAAGCGCATCATCAAAGAAGTCACGTAGTGCTGGTACAATTGGAGAAACATCAACATCTTGAGCCAAAAAATCAAGAGCATAGTAATCACGAGCCATTGCTTCATAATCCCGGTTAACCAAGTGAACAACATGACCAATAATGGCAGACCTTGCTTCTTCTGGAGTTTCACTCATCATGCCAAAATCAAGAAAAGCAAGCTTTCCATCAGGTGTTGCCAAAAGATTCCCTGGATGAGGATCTGCATGGAAATATCCATACTCAAGTAGCTGTCTAAGACTGCACTGTATGCCTGTGTTTACAAGATCTAAGACCTTTAAGCCTTGCCTCTCTATAGCCTCCTGCTGGTTTAGTTTGACTCCATCTACCCACTCCATTGTCAGTACTTTCGCACTTGTATAGTCCCAGAAAACATCAGGAACAAAGATATCTTCTTTGTCAGCATACAATTTTCTGAACCTCCTTGCATTTTGTCCCTCCTGCAGGAACCTGTCAAAATTAACTTTAAACTCCAAAAAAATATTATCATATAAATTATATTTACTTTAGCATTATTGGTTAACATATCAAGCACATGCCACTTTGAAAATGTTTCAAATTTCAGACAGAAGAATACGGTCATTAGATGCTTGCTTTCTTAAATACACATAAAGCAAGCAGTGAAAAGCATGGCAATGGGTATGTCGAGGGCTATATTTTGGGTATTTCTATCACTTTTTTAAAATTTCACAAAAAAATATGATAAGAAAAAGAACAAAAGTTATTTGTATTGTTATTCTCAACTGGCAATATGTCCATGTTTTCTTGCAATAAAATCACTTACTTACTGATTGAAGAACTAACCTGCACATAGTTGAGCTCTTGAAAAACTCTACGTGCAAATTCATCAATAAGAGCAACAACGTCACTGGTGATTAGGTCAACATATTTGTTTATGAAAAATCCTACGCCTCTTATCAGAAAGAAGTCCAATCCTATAGCTTCTTCAATGCCAGGGCGTTGCACCTTGACAGCCACAAGTTTCCCAGAGTACTTCAGCCGAGCTTTGTACACTTGACCCAAACTGGCTGCTGCTATGGGAGATGGAGATATTGAAGAGAAAATGGACTCGAGAGATTGTCCTAATTCCCTTTCTATGCAACAAAAGGCCTCTTCATCAGGAAACGTGGGCAAACCATCCTAGCAAACCAAAAGAACAAAAAATTATCCAAAAATCCTACATTTCCATTTTTCATCTTTATGGCATTATATCATAATTCACAATAAAGGGCACACTATACTACCCTACATAGGTGAACAGATTTTCAAAGAATTTATGTCCCATAGAAAATTATACGTCCCAATGAATAAGTGAAGAGCTTATCATGCAGCATATTGATGCTAATCACTGGAACTATCAAAATGCTCACAAACGCAAAATTAATGAATGATTAAAGCAACCTTTACAAAATAATGTTTTTGCCTGTTTCTGAATAAACAAAGTTAATGGGAAGAACACAATACTTGAAGTTCAGCGAGCTCCTCCAGATACTCAGGGGGGCAGAGGTCAGGCCTGGTGGACAAGCCCTGACCCAATTTCACAAAAGTTGGTCCCAGCCGCGTGAATATGGTCCTCAGCTCAACTGCACGAAGTCTTTTATTTTGATCAAGAACTCCATTGCTTTTGTCTAGGAATAGCTTGAACGCAAATGAACCTAAAGCAGAAAGAACTTGAAGGGTCCTTCCCGCCACCTATTCAATACAAAAAAAGGGTCGAATTAACCCAATTTCCACCATTTTGACTACAAATGATAGCGAGAAAAAGAGTTGATATTTGCATGAAACTCCAGTTCCCGGATAGCCTAACTTTCAATTTGGTAACCACAAGTGGCTTCATTCGATTTGGTCCCGCGGTCATTAAAATCCTAAGGTATTCTAATTTCATTCAAAATTGAACACTCGACCTGGCATTACGATAATTTGAAACTTATTTGACACATCTTACTTGATTCAGATTAAATTTTGGTCGTACGTAGAGAAAATGACCTGTCTCAAGCATTTTAAGAATAGAACAGCTAAACTGTAAGAAATAGTTCGAGAGAACCAAATTGAATATCCACCAGCGCCTTCGACCAAAATAAAGTTTCCCTTAGTAGAATACCTTCAACGGTTGGGATCCATATTGCTCGGCTAGAAGCTTAGCGCTATAGACAGAAGAATTGGCCGAACGCGCCATGGCTCTGGCCTCGGCCTGCAAGTCATCGGCTCGGTTCACTGGATGTGCAAGGACCTTGATGGAAGATGATCCAGCTCTTGGCGCCGGCACGCCGGAGCTAGGCGTTGCCTCAACCAGAGCAGCTCGAGGAGGAAGTTTTAGCTTCCTAAAGGTACTTCTTCTGCCATTGAGGAAGCTTCTTCTTCTTGGATTGCTGCGTTTCAATATCCATGAAGGATATGGTGCCACGACGGAAGACGGTGGTGCCACGGCGACGAAAGTCATGGTTCTCGTTGCTTCTAGCCTGTGGAAATCCAAAATCTTGAAAAGCCTCTTGAGGGAAATGAGCAACGGAAAATAATTGAACACGGACCATTTATTTACGTTATTACTTGATCTTGTCTACGTGGAAGTATCTTCACTTGGAAATATTTTTTTAAAAATAAACTAGTGGTTTAAATAAATTTTGCCTACATAAAGTAATCAATTTTGTTATTATTAGTACAAATGAACGATAATTTAAAATATTCTTCTTTATTTTATGAAGTTATAATTATAAATTAATAAAGCAGGTTTCAATTAATTAAATTTTTAATTAAATATTTTTTATAAAAACATGTATTAAAGTTAAACAAAACTGTTTTGATTAAAAATATAACAATTTTATTTCACGAAACTTGGTATTTATACATGTACCAAAAATAATAAAAATTTATAACTTCTAAGGAAGAAACATTATAATACAATTATAAAATTTAAAAAATTTATTAGGGAGAATGACTTGTTAAAAAATCAATTGATTTAAATTAAGTTTTAAACATCAAATTTTAAAAATTTATAATTTAATTTCTCAATTTTACAATTTTATTATAATAAATTTGTAACTTATATTTTAAATTTTAATAAAAAAAATTTTTTATTTTTTAAATATGTTAAAATTTAAAAGATAAATTATAAATCCATCACAATAAAGTTACAAAATTAAAAAATTAAATTATAAATTTTTAAAATTTAATATTTAAAATTTAATTTAAATTAATTAATTTTTTTGAGACAATCTCAATTTGCTGAGGACACGTAAGAGTTGCGTGTCACTAATGCCGCCTAAGGGACGGACCCACGTTAGGCATGGTGGGGACAATTGACCCCAAAAAATTTCAGTTGGCCCCCTCATTTTTTAAAAAAAATTATTATCCCCTTATAAAATTATATCCTACTAAATAATTTATCATCTGCAACTATATAAAACATACGTCCATACATGCATACATATATATAATCTTAAATAACAATAATTTTAAAATAAAAAATTAATAATTTAAAAAGATTGTCTATGCAAATGTTTTTTACAAGAAATTTCCAGACATGCAATATCTTCATTTTCTTATCATTATTGTCCATTCACTTTCCTAATCTTAATCATAGATTACAGAAGTGGAGGGAAAATAATGATAAAAAAGACTAGAGAGATTGCATATGCAAAATTCCCTACCATACAAAAGAGGTATATAGATTTTATTTAATGAAAATTAAAAAAATATTATTACAATATATATATAAAAAATTGTTTGTATGAAAAAGCGAGTCTTTTACGTTATCATAATGTTATGTTTTATATGTTGTTTTTAATATTTAATTTTATTAACTCATATCATAAATTTAACTTTATATATATTTAAAATTATTTTTTATAAAAATATAAATATTTATTTTAAGTATAGATTATGTCCTCTTTGATTCATTTTTCTGGGACTCTCACTGTGCAGCCTCCAGGAGGGGAGGGCGTGACGGAGATGAGGGAGTTGAGGAGCACATAGACGGAATCCTTGAGGAGCTAGAGGCTATCCTCACATGCCGATCATACACGAGCCGTTGAAGTATATAAGGAGAACAAGAAGGGAAGGTAGGTTTTAAGGGTACCTTGGAAGGAGGAGGAAAATGCGAAGAAGTAAGGGGGGCGGGGGGATATTTTAGTCAATTTACATAAAATCTTATTTACAGCCAAGTTCTTCAAGATTTTGTAGTTATTTGTGTATTTGATGGGACTTTTGGGTTGTTGGATTCTTTATAGGGAATTTTATAATGATTTTTCCTAAAATTATTATATATAGACGAAGTTAGGATTTTATTTCACCGACAAACAATAATGTTAGTTAAAAAAAAAAATCTTATTTTGTCAGGTGGGAGCGGTTAATTCTATTTAATGAATAAATTTAAAAAAAATACAATTTTATAGAACCAGTTAAAATATAAAAATATATTATATGAAAAACTATAAAAGATTATGTAACTTTCGACTAAACTAAATATATGAATATATTTCTCTAGCACCCATTAAATCAATTTCAAGATTATATGAACTTGATTGGAACATCATCATTTTCAATACCAATAATCAATATATATATATATATATAATACATAAGAATATGATCAATAGTGTTTTGAAATTAAAAGAAAATATAATATATATACCAACCGGCATAAATTCTAGTGAAAAGAATCATAATCACCAAGCATGAGGTCTTAAGTTTAAGTTCATATAAATTTAAAAAACACGTTTAAAAAGGTTACCCAACTTAGGTCTAATAATGTGTGTGGAAGGAGATAGAAAAGAAAATCTGTCATCACCAAAAATCTGTTTTTGGACTCCAAAATTCGACAACGTCAAATTTGTTTTGAATAATTTATAAAGGAATGAATAAACACAGAAATAAAATGCAGGGTTAAATCTAAATAATATAAAATTAAAATAATCAAATGTTTAATGATAAATTATATAACCTTTTCACCATAAGATACAATTATTAATTATAATTATAATATTAATAAATATAGTTTATATGTTCCTCTTTTAAAGTCTTACAGGAAAAAAGAAAAAACTAATGTGATCAACTCATGAGGATTTTCTTTCCAAAACTTGTGGACTTCAAGATGTTGGTTCCATGGCCGCCAAATAATTTGAGTCGCGTACGCTTAGAAGCCTATTTCTGGCTTATCTACCTCCTTCAATTTAGATATAATGCACTTTGCTTTAGGATATTTTCAAAAAAGAAAACAAAATATGATATAAATTTATAAAGGAACTGATCACGATCTTCCCTCTATTTTATTGAAATTAAAGACGCCTCATCTCTATTTTCAAAATTTATACTTCTGTTCAATTTTTATTTTTTAGTATGGTTAATAATTATTTGCTGACGATTTCATAGAATAAAACTTTTATTTATAGTGGGGTCAAAAATCATTGCCCCCAAATTTTTTTTTGAGGAACACTAAGAAACATGTTTTGATAAGAGAACAAATTTTTTTAAATTATTTTTTTGAGGAGCAAAAAAATCTCTTCCATCAAGAAATCATCTATTTTATTGTTATCTGCTTATGTGTATCATGTGTGAGCCCCATTATCATCTAAAGTGACTTAATAATATAGGGTTAAAGTGTTAATTTCCTCCTAAACATTTTTTCCACAAGCCTTAGGCACCTTAAAATTTTGTTAAAATAAAATTTGATAAATATTTATCTTAGTACAATCTTGTTAAAATATTAAATATTTTTATATTTAATAATTTAAATATTATTATTTATAAATATTCATTTAAAATTTGTAAATTATCTTTTAAATATTAATAGCTCAACGAGTTTTTTTTTGAAATGCATATGTAATTTGTAAATTGAAATATTATGCTAATTATAAATCTTCCTCCAAAATTAATAAGTCCTCCTTAAAAGATTTGTATATATTAAAAGTTGACTTATAAATTGTGTGTGATGATTTATAAATAATAATATTAATAAATAAATTACATAAGAGGACCTTATAAAAAAATAATATTTTTTAAGTCTATTAAATTTTCTAAGTCTTTCTCTATAATTTTTTTGGTCAATTAACAGTTAAATCTTTTTGATTGAAAAGTTCTAATCTTTTAAATTATCTTTTAAATATTAATAGCTCAACGAGTTTTTTTTTGAAATGCATATGTAATTTGTAAATTGAAATATTATGCTAATTATAAATCTTCCTCCAAAATTAATAAGTCCTCCTTAAAAGATTTGTATATATTAAAAGTTGACTTATAAATTGTGTGTGATGATTTATAAATAATAATATTAATAAATAAATTACATAAGAGGACCTTATAAAAAAATAATATTTTTTAAGTCTCTTAAATTTTCTAAGTCTTTCTCTATAATTTTTTTGGTCAATTAACAGTTAAATCTTTTTGATTGAAAAGTTCTAATCTTTTATTATTCTTAGATATTGGTCCATTTTTAATTAATAGATTTTGAGCTTGGTTGAAAAGTTAATCTTCTCTGATTGTTTTGAAGTTTAATGGTTCTCTATTTGTCTTGTTCCATCCCTTCTCATTGCCTAGGCATTTCTTTTTTGCTATCATTTATGTGTTCAAAAACTAAATATATATGGATTCAATAAACATTGCTCCATTTAGCCTAGTTAAAAAGTTATAATCTTTTATTATTTCATGTTATTATATATAATGGCTTATGATATTGTGTTTTATTTAAATTTTGATTATGACAAATATAAATTAGTTAACTATACTTATGCCTATTAATTTTCATATATATAGTATTTAACTATAATTACAGAACAAATGCTTTAAAGTGTTTTTACCTATACTACTTTATAATAGATGTGATTTGAAAAAAATGATTTGTATACACCAAAGTTATTTCACACTATCATATTTTCCTTATTTTAAAGTGATTTATATTCAAAAGTATTCAAAGTATTATCTTTGATATATTGGATATGAAGTTTTTCATATACATAGTACCATAACCTTCATATCTATACTCATAGATGGACTGATCATTTTCTTCATATCATATTATTAAAGGTTGTCTAGAGTAAAGATAAGAGGGTGAAGAGGAAGAAAATTAAAGTTATCATTAACATACTATATTCAAGATTGAAAAACATAAATATGAGAATCGTGATCCAAAGAGAGATTGAGAAGAATGAAGACATTCATACAAGCTTGAATACACTTTAGAAGCTTTGGACTTGATATGTGTAATATCATTCAACTAAAAGTCTTTATGTTAAAATTATTGATTTGGATATGCAATATGGCTCAAGATATTTTTAAATCAAAACATGTATTTTAATTCTTGAGTGAGGTATAATTTTTCATAATCTATTTTGATCTTTAATTATCTATATCTCACAAGTTTTGAAATGTTTTTATCACTAACTCCATAAGGTTTTAAAGGTGTCTATTTACTCAAATGGAATTAAGTTGAAAAATTTATGAAGACTAAAAGTGTAAGCTTTGAAACGTGATTTTGCAAAATATCAAAATCAGATTTGACCTTTGGTCATGCTTGTAGTCATCTCTATCACAATGCATATTTTTTTTAAATATGAAACATAACTCATTTGAAAGTAGACTCTATAAGAGTTTTCAATTATATTTAATTTATTCAAAATGAAGTCATGGAAAAAGATATAAATTTTAAAAGTTGAATGTTGAGATATTAATTCTACACAGTATTTAGTTTTGACCTTTGGTCATTATTTTGATAATATCTCATACAATATGTTGAATTAAACTATGAAACTTGTTTTTATTAAAAACTAGACATCAAGAGCTTTCCAACTATATGTAATTTGCTACATTTGGAGTTGTATTTGCAAAAAATTTATTTTAAATTTAATAAAAATAATAATAAATTTAACTAAAAAATATAAAAATATAAAAATAAAATTTAATCCTTTTTAGGATTATATTTTCAAAATAAAAAATTTTAATTAAGAGGGTTTAATTTTATTTTAATTTAGATAATCCGTTATTGGTTAAGATTTTATTTCTTTTAGTTCATTTAAATAACAAAAAAAATATAAAAATATAAAAACAAACTTTAATCCTTTTTTTAGGATTATATTTTTAAAAATAATAATAATCTAACAAAATTAAATAAAATTTTACTTAAATATTTAAAAAATGTCTCTCAAATTATCCCAACCATTCAAAGATATTGAAAATTAACTTTTAAAAATTAACCTTTTTTAAATTTCTTTTCTTAAATCTTCTTGTTTTCTAAAAAAAGAGATATTTTTACTTAATTTAAATTTTTTTCTCTCTTAATCTAATTTCTAAAATTGTGATTAAGATAACATGAAAAACAAAAAGAAAGCATTAAAAATTAAAAAAATAAGGGGATGGGTGAAACACTGAATCATCAACGTTTCACCATAGCCCTAAAGGGATTCTCGGCCAGGCATAAAAAGAAAGAAAATGAGAAGAGAGAAAGCAAACAAAAACACACACTCACATAGGTTAGAGAAAAAGCAAAACATAGCTAGATACGAGCAGAAGAGAAGATCAGACGAGAGGAACATAAGGCAGAAAAAAAAAGCAAGGCAGAGCAGAAACGTAGCATTCACGTGAGTGGAAGGAAGAAAAGGAAGGAGGAAACGTGCACATCAATCCCTAGCTCTTCAAATGGAGAGAGCAGACGCACAGATGAAGCATACATGAAATACGACACTGAGAGATCTGGTAAGATTTGGTCTTCAATATAAGGAAGAGATTGAGAGTGATCGGAGAGGAAGAAAAGAAGGGAGAATCGAGAGTCAACAGATATTGAGTGATCTAGAGAAAGAGGAGAGACTGAGAGTCAAAGGGGGACTAAGGACAAAAAAAAGAAGAACAGAGGAGACTAAGATCAGAGATGGAGAGATTTCTGGCGAGGATTTTTTGAAAAAGAGCTAGGTTTTGGGAGAACATGAGAGAACTAAGAGGACTGAAGGGAGTCAAATCTGGGGATCGAAGACTTGAGGGGAATGTCTAGAGATTGAGGGATCTGGGTTTTGGTTTTTTGAGATGATTGAGAGAGAGGGAGAGAAAACCAAAGAGAGAGAGAGAGAGAACCGAGAGAGAATCGAGAGGTTAAGGAATTTGGGATTGAGGGCGATTTTCTGGAGGAAGAAAAAGGACCGAGAATGAGATGGATTCAGTGAAGATTAGGAGTTAAAACAAGGAGCATTGGGAATGAGATTGAAGCAAAGACCGAAGAAGTAGAAGGGGAGGACTGAACAAACCCAAAAACTGAAGGTGAAGTTGACACTATTTTGGTAACAATTTCAAGATCAATTTACATGCTTTAAATTTTGGTTTTTGATTTTAAGTTTGATTGGTTTTGGAATGTACTAATTCTTTTGTAAGCCTGATTTCTAATGGTTAGAAATTGGTCTGCATTGTTTAAGCAATTTTTTGGGATACGCTTCATATGGACTTGATCAGATATATAGATTAAGTGTTGAGAATAATTGATTTAATGTTCATTAAAGGTTTTATTGTGGCATTGATTTTGCCTACTGCTGTAAGAATGATGCTGGATTATACGCTCTGTTCATATGATTCAATTGCCTTGCTATGTGGTAGAAGAAATTTAGTCTCAAATTGTACTTTTGATCATGATTGAGGTTGATTTCACAGTGTATTATCTAGCACATTGTTGAGGGAATGCTGTGATCTTGTTTCAAAGGTTTGTTTAATGTGATTAATCTATTCAAAACTTGTAAGGTAATGTGCATGATCTTCATTTGGGATAGATGTTCCTATTTTCTTCATCTAGATTTTAAGTTGTACTGTTGCAATTGATGTTTTCATTTTAGTTGTAAAGCATGTATCATGCGTTCTTAGTTGGGTTTAGCTTGAAAGAAAATTCCTAAATACAATTCTTGCTACTTTTCTAATTATGTTTGAGTTGGTTTTGATTTATTTCCATGATGACTATGGTTCAATTATTGAAGAAAATCCTATTGTTAGACTAACCCAAACCTTATTTGCAACTCGTTCTTCTTTTTTAGGCTGAGATATCAATTTGTTTTTAATTAGAGGAGAATTAGGTGGCTGGTGGCAGTGTTGTCATGTGAATATCATTTTTGAGGTTAAACATTTAGATATTGGTGCCATTATTCACATTATTTCCTCTTTGAATATCAACTAAGCATTAGGCCAAATCTGGATTTTTTTAAAAGAATATATCATCAAGTCAAAAGAATAGTGAATTATAAAAATAATTTATTTCTCTATTCCTTCCATTTCCTTTATTGCATAAATCATTTAGCTAACATTAATATTATGCATCAGTTACAAATGCAAATATTTTGATTACCTATTTATCGTGTGAGATTTTAAGAATCTCCATAGGAATTTGGAATGATTTCATATCATGTAAATTAATAAGATTTCACAGGTATGATAATCCAACTTGTATATATTAATATGGGTTTCGAAGGCTCATCATTAAAATGAACTCTTTTATTATAATTTTAATTAATAAAATATTTAAATGTCATGTAAGATTTCAAGAATCTCCATAGAAATTTAAATTAAGTGTATTATCTTGTGGGATAATAAATCATCACAGATATCATGATTCTCAATTTATATAGTAAATACATAAATGATTTTTGTAAATAAAAGAATAAACTTTTTTAATAATAAAGTTAGTTAATTAAATTAATGTATTTGCATAATAACCATTAAATCTTTTGGTCATGTAAGATTTTTAAATCTCCATAGATCTTTGGAATAATCATCTTACTGTGTAAGTCAATAAGACTTTGCAGGTATAGTGATTAAGATTTTTATGTTTAAAAATGTAAATTGTATAATTATGTATTAAAATATATTTAAAATATATTATTTAATTCTTTATCGTGTGAGATTTTAGAATCTTCATAGATATTTAGGCTAATTATATTGCTGTATCAGTCAATAAGGCTCTGCAGGTATGATAATTAAGATCCTTTAAAAAAATATATATATACGTGCTTAAAAATATTAGTAATATTTTAAAAAATAATAATAATAAATAAACTAAGTTGTTAAACTCTTTTATTATGTGAGATTTTGAAATCTCCAAAGATATTTGAAATAATCACATTATCGTATGAGCCAATAAGGCTCTGCAGATATAGTAGTTAAATTGACAATAATAAAATATAAAAAATAATAACTTTGAACTCTTTACCTTTTTCTTATTCCAAAAAAAAATTTAAAATTAAAAAAATAAATAAAATTAAATTACTTTGTACAATTTAAAACACACATATCAAATTTCAGAAAATTATTTTATTTTCAAAATGGTGAATTATTTTTAATTAATTTTTCTTCAAAAAATATTTTCACCAACAATTTATAATCCTAAACTACATGGACTTTGATCCCCAGTGCAAGGTATGTAGGCCTTAAAGTCTGATTCTGAGTCATATCCTCCTTTGTAAATAAATAAATATTTCTCACTTAATTATTATCATTTTTTATATCAAACACATGAATAAGAAAGGGATAATTAAAATAACTTCAAAGCCATATTAATTTAGCACAATAAACTTTAGATAACTATTTTCATAAACGGGTGTTGTGGGGTGCCCCACACTCAATCGACTCCTGAACCTATTTTCTGATTTTGCAGACTATCCTTATTTTCCTTTAAACAATTTCCCTAGATTTACCTTGAAATTTTGGTGGCAACTTTCATTCATTCAGTTCCCAATCTGAAGGCCAGAACCTCTGCTCTTGCACACTGTCCGCGTTGCATTTTCGGGTGCGACAATATTGAATAAGTTATAGCCTTTAAAAATTCTATCCTGTGATATCTCCAAAACATTGTGACTCAAAATAAGGCACATGTATGTTTTAACCTTAGCTTGTCCAAATCAAGCATCCCACCCCTCTAAACAAAACACGCGAAATAGCCTTTAGAAGTCTTGTTCTTCACTGAATGGCTCTTGTGATCCAAATCAAGCTTGATCCCATTCCAAAACACGCTTGAAATAGCCTCCAGAAGCCTTAATCTTATGGCTTTTGGGATCCAAATCTAGCATGATCCCATTTCAAAACAAGCTTGAAATAGGCTTTAGAAACTTTATTCTTCATTAAATAGATTCTGTGATCTACTTCACACGTGACTCTCTTCCAAAACATGCTTGAATTAGCTATAGCATGTTAGATTGGGTTTGTGCATTCATCTAATCCATGTATGTCACTTGTGTGACTCACGCTTGAATAGGATTCATCATTTAAAACTTTTAAGCTTGACTTAGAGAGAGCCTTGAACTTGAGTTAGCCAATTTAGACTTGACTCTTGATTGAAACTTGCTTAATTTGGCCAAAAGTTAAACAAGCTATTCTGTCATCCAATTCAAGCTTGACTCCTGATTAAAAATTGCTTGAATTGAGCCAAGCCTAATATGAGATGTAACATCTTATTTTTAGATAATAAAGAAATTGTGAAATTTAGGTTTTAGTGAGGATAAAAAAATAATAATAGGAATTTATATTATTGGAGGTTATTCAAAAATAATAATATGATTAGATATTTAATTATGAATTAAAAATTTAGTTTTAAAATCACATAAGAGATGTTTAGTTAATGTATAATTTTAAAATTTAGAATATATAAATAATTGTGTGTGTGTGGGTAAAAAGAAAAGGTGCAAGGCCTTTTTTTTTTGTCCCACATCGGTTAGATGTGGGAAGAGGAAATGATTCCTCAAGTATAAATATGCTAGGATGCGCATCAGGGGCCAAAAAGTGGATGAGATGCAATTTGAAAAAAATTACAACTAATAGCCTAAGAGTTTGAACAATTAAATTCAAATCTATAGTTTTTTTTAATATAATTGTGGGATCCACAATTTTGTTTTTATATTATTTCCCCCCTCTCTCCCCCTCTCACATTGCTCTATCTTTTCACGCAAGGGTGTTTATTTTCCTTTTTTTTTATGCATGCTCCAACTTTCCTGTTTAGATTAGTATTTAAAAAATTATTTAATTACAAAATTAATTTCATAGTTATTTCCTAAATAAGATTAGCTTTTTATTGATATGATTACTTTGTAGAGTAGAGCAAATATTTTGATTAAGATTTTTTTATGGGATAGTTAATCTGATGATATAATGGATTAAAAATATATTCTGAAGTTGTTAGGGATATAATAAATATTATAAAATATTTTCTTGAGGTTGAAACTCATATTTAAAAATTTTTGAGTTAGACTCTAGATCTATATGGTTGAATTTATGTTGAATCTGAGATGTAGGGATGAACCTCTAATTATTAAATATTTATTTAAGTATGAATAGGTATTTCTAAGGCTATAGAATGGTGATTGAGGCTTTAGGGTAATTCTTGAATTTTTAATTTATTTTTGGATGAATTTTTATAATATAGATTGATGAAATTATGATACTAGAAGTGATTTGAGGCTTAAATATAGTTTATTAGGATATGATAATTCTAGAAAAGAATTTGAAAAGTTAATTGAGGCACAAACCTTAAATTAGTGTTAATGTGGATCTTAGGCCTAAAATTTTCTAACTCTTTAAATTAGAGTTATTTATTAATTTTAATGTGAAATTAATATATAGTATTATGAAATAATTATGTAAATTGTATTGACAAAGATAGTGTTGAAAGAGGAGTTGTGAAGGGGAACTTATTATTCAAGACACAAGATAACCATTATTAATATGTTGTGATAGGTATGTATGTGATTAGTTATGTGTTATTTTGTTGTTTGAAAAGATTATAAATTATGAATTATTGAAAATAAATACTAGTATATACTTGTTTGGAATTATTGCCAAGTGGGTTAAAAATTTGTTTTTGTTTATTATGATGAGATATTATTATTCAGTTATATTCTTGTTTGGATATTTAAATGATGCATGATTTGTTAGGGTATTTTAATATATGGTATTATTGAAGATTTCTATTTGGTTAATTATTACCACGTGGTAAGCCCTTATTGGACCTAATGAGTGGCATGTAGCTTAGTCCAACTCACCTTTGGCCAGGTGATTTGGCGTCTGGATATGACGAAAGGAGAATATAAGATATAGTCATGCAATTAAATATTTGTTTGGTTTATTTGAAAATATTGTTCAGTTAAATGTTTTTCTGTGCCCACTTAGTAGTCGCATGATTAGTTATATTCACATACATCATTACATATTAATTTTTGGTTACTGGGACTTTTAAGTCTCATTCCCTGTGATTAATATTTTTACAAGAGTGAGTCTGGCCGAGAAAACACTAGAGGCGTAACATTGTTGTATGAGACATTACCTTTTATGTTGCCTCTTATTTTAGATTATGCAATGTATCTAGTGCCAATTTAGGACATATTTTATTTTGTAGAGCATATAGACTCTAATCCTTTTTATTAACTGCATTTATATGACCAAGATGATCATGTCTGTCCCTCTTGATCCTTGACCTGATTTGAATATCATGCCATGAGGATCCTGTCTATCCCTCATGATTCTAATTGCTTTTTAAGATATTAATAACATAACAAAATTTAATTGGAAGCATTGAATATTGAGTGAAAAGATATTTATAATATGAACAAGTGTACATCCTATAATTATATTTTGTGAAGCATAAGTGTTGGATTATGGTGAATGTTATGTAGACCTATTTTGGGTATTATTGAACCAGTATTCTTTAGGAAGTGTTAATACTCAATACTTAAACAAGACTTGTGGTATATTGTTTTGGATGTACACTTGGGTCACATAACAACATAAAAAAAAATTGTATTTAGGAATTTTTTGGGATTCTCTACCTTGGGATAGGTTTATGCACCAAATGCTAATTTAAAAAAATATTATTTTCTTTGATATGAATTTTTTTACATTGTTTTCCATTAAGTAAAATTTTATTATAAATGTATTTTTAATTATCATGGTAAGGCTTATTCATAATGTTAAATTCTTTCTACTATGATAGGCTATTTGTAAAATATTTTATTTATATGATAAACTCTTTTCTACTATAATAGAGCTTTAAAAGAAGTTTTGTTATTTATTATCATGGTAGAAATTCTTTTTATCATGATAAGGGTTCAATAATGTAAAAATAATTTATTGAATTAATAATTTATAAAAAATCAATTTGAAAATTTTAGGGTGTTACATAAGACCATGTCAATCCACATACGACCTCATTCTAATTCAAGCTTGATTGGGCCTTTGATAGTGCATTCAATACATTTTGTAGAAAAGTGCTTTTTTACCTTTGCTTTACTCTACTCATTCCTGACAGCTATAAACGACCATATTGTGTCTCCAACAACTATTTCACTCCATAAGTTATAAATATAACACTCTAAACTTATCTTAAAATAAAAGATTAACCTCAAAAATTATTGGGCCATGAGATTTAAGTTCTTCATATTGTTTTTATACGAAAAACATTATTCTTGAGCCAATATCTTCTATGTCTTCATTATTTGAGTATAAATGCTTAATTATACTCATTCTACACTTAAAGAGAGTTCTAGTTAAGTGATTTACATGCTCAAAAACCTTTTATGTTGTATCTTAAACTTTTAATCCTAAAAACTAATTGCTAATTAAGGGTAAATTATTAATTAGAGAATTAATAGTGATTTTGGATGGTAAATTAATATTCTGACTAGTTAGATTGCTAAATGGTTAGGATCAGGTAGAGGAAAGGCAGTTTAAAGTAAAATGTGCGAGCAGTATAAGATTTTGCTCACTGTGCCCTACGTTGCAGCATGTGTTACATATATCATGGTGCATGGCACAAAATTTAACTTTTAAGGATGTGTTAGCTCATAAATTTAGAGGGAAAACATAGCAAAGAGTGTGATGGAGAGGGATACAAGTGGAGGTCTGCTAGGGCGAGAAAGTTTAGATTCTTGGGAGTTAATTTTGGCCTATCACTTGCAGGGTAAGTTTCTTTCTACCCTATGCTCCTATTTTACCCTAATTTCTCTTAGTTTGAGATAGAGAAATTTAATCAAGAAGTTTTAAGGGATTTTTTCTTACCCTTTAGTAATATAAAGATTCTCAGGAGTCAAACTAAGTTTTTATGACTGGTTTGAGAATTAATGATGGAATTTTAGAGTCAGAAGCTCTATTTGACCTAAGTTGAGAAGCTCAAAAAGGGTAGAAATGTTTGTGTAGTGTATTAGGAAGTGGTTTGACCATTTTAATGACCTAAGGGTGTGTGATTGGGGTAAATGGGCTAAAGTGAGTCAAAAAAGTGTTAACGAGATGGGGTATAAGTGCTAGGTAAAGTGACTTAGCCAAGTTTAGTGTTTTACATTTAGTTTTGGGGCTAATTATTATTTATGTATAATGAGCAATTTGGGTTTGCTCATAGAAATCTATAAGCTACAAGGTACTGTCTTGGTATAAAGGGAGTGAGGTAATTGGATAAAAATTTCTACCTATTGGCTTATAAAATTATATACAAGCTAATGGGAAAAACTATTTATATTGATAATTCTAAAACTAATAGACTAGTTTTATTTTATTATTTGAGATATGCGCACGTGCGATTTAAGTTCTATACTTATTATAACATGTGCAAATAGAGTAATGGATGTGAAGCATATAAAAAGTGATGTATGGAATGCATTTGTAGTGTTGCATATGTGAATGCATGCGAAAGTGATACCCTAGTCTAAGGTAGAGGCATGTGGCCTTACATTGTGTAAGGCTAAGAAGTTTTGGTCTAGAGTGTTGATTATGATCCACTAATGGGATTTAAAAGTACATGAGCATTCATATGTAATTAGAGGTGAGAGTTCACCTTGCAGAGATTTATACACCATGATGGTGGCATGTGTGATGCTAATGCCCTATGTACCATAGCCAATATGATTGGCCTACTCCTTGTCACTTTGTGAGTGATTGGTAGAAGGAGTATTCGATGCCCTACTAATTGGTTAGGAGGAATTCATAGTCCAGAGGTGGTAAAGATGTATTGGCCCTTTTTCTTCCACTAATGGTGAGCTTGGGCCGATCAAAGAGGTCCTGTGTATAGCTTATGGGTTTAGTCAAGAGATTTAAAGGTTTGGAGGATGCTAGTGTAACATATACATTGATATTTGTACATCGCATTATTGACACTATGCATATATCCATATTTATTTGTGAAAAGTGATACTAATCTCTCTCTTGTGCATAATTTTACATGTTGAATTGGTATTTAAGTTTCTTCAAGTTATTGGGACTTTTGTCTCACTCTTTTACTTCATGTTTACAGGTGTTGAAGTCTGAAGAGGGCATGAAAGGAAATGCTAGAAGAGTAGCTATGTTTGTACAAATTATAATGCTATTCTTGAGTAAATGAATGTATATTTTTGCAATGTGTTAAAGTTTCTAACTAGGGTGTAAACATATACATATATTGTTTTGGTGACTTGCTTATAGTATCTTTTATACATCTTTGCCATTGGTGTAAGTGAGTGTAAATATGATAGTTGGGCTTAGATGCTATTACAAGCAAGTGTGTATTTATTGTTTTGAGAAATCTTATTTTATGACAAGTGATAACTGATATTTCCCTAGCTTGTGATGCCTAGAGTGTAAGTACTTTTGTAAAGCTAGTATGTGCTAATGAGCAATTTGAGAATTGAAAGCAGTCAACTTGTTTTACTAATGGGTATATGTGTTTCTGTGTTCATATGTGTATGTGAACCTTGACTATATGGCAAGACCTAACCCCATATATGTAAGTTAGGTATATGTGAGTGGAATAAGTAGGAGTGTGCATGTGTGGTAGTATTTTTCTTTGAGATCAATTTTGTTAAATTCTCATGTCAAACCACTTGGGTGAAAAGTGGCATTGAGAAACCAAATTGAGACTATAATGTGTTAATCAGCTGAATTTAGTCCTTTTAAACTTAGTTCAAGACCCTAAGTGGTCTAATGAAGTAAGTGATGAAATTTAAACAATCGAAGTGCTTGCTTTTAAAAGAAAAAAGCCTTTTTGCATGCAAGTGTCCAAACTGAGTTTAGACTATTGAATCATGTTTGAACTTGCTTCATTAATTAGCTTGTCTTACGAGCTTTGTGTGGACATTTGAATTACTCTAATTTGACATCATATGTGAAAATGGTGTATGGTAAAAGTTCATATTAGCTATTCTGTGTGACAATAGAATCAGATATGTTTATTGCGGCACATAACATAGAGCTAGAATTTATGGCTCTATACCATATGTCATAGAGTATGTGATACATGCTGCGGTGCATGGCACTTTTTAAGGAAATAAATGTTTTAATCCCTATTTTAAGGATAAGGTGTTTATGCCTTTATGAGTATTTTCCTTGTGCAAAAACACTTGCGTTGAGTCTTTAACCTAAGTCTATAGTGCCTCTAGGACTTTTACATTGTAAACGTGAGTAGAGATTTTTCTTGTAATTAAGAGAGGTTGTTCTCTTAAGAGAAAAGCTTATTGGTGTAATGAGTAGTGGTAACAGCTCACAAGTACTCGAATTAAGCTTGTGGATTCTATTGTCTCACAAGTGCCCAATCCAAACTTATGGAAGATAATAGAGAAATTTTAAGTGGCTTGATTGGGGACTAGATGTAGGCTCAAGTGGGGAAGCTAAACTAGAATATACTACATTTTGTATTATCTTTTTTCTTACCCCTTTTTTTTGGGATAAACTCTTCTATTAACTTTTTATGTTTTTAGCAACCTTAATTTATGCTCTATTTTGATGTTTAAAATTGAATTTGATATATTTATATACTCTTACTTAAAACTTCTACTGAATTTTTTTAAAACATTATTGCACATATTGAGCTTGGAAAAAATTACTTTGGCATTCTTGTGAACAAAGGTTAGAACTAACATTTGTTCAAACTTTCCCTTACACATTGTTTTGCTAAAAAAGTTTCAAAAGAATTAAAAATTTTGATTAACACCTAATTCACCTCTTATTGGATGTGTTTCCATATCTAACACATATAACTTTAGAGGAAGACTTATAATTTAACATATTACTTTAATTTATAAATCACCTATAAATTTTTAAAAAATCGGTTGAGCTGTTAATATTAAAATAAATATTTATTAAATTTTAGTTTAATAAATATTTCAAACTTAGTAATCCTTTTTAGATTAGACCCTTGATTCCATTGAATTCAGCGATTAGTGTTGTCTAAATAAGGAGTTTTATAAAGTGCGTTTCTGTGAGTTAGTGGTAGCTTTTGGCACTTATATGGGGTTTTGGACATCCTTGAGGTGTGAAAAACTGTAAAAATATATTTGGATGTCAATTTTCCTCTTGTGAAATAATTTGGAAGTAAAACCTATGACGCACCATGACATGCAGTGCTTGTGTTGCGGCACGTCGCATAAAGAAGGATAGCCATAGTGCATGTGTACATGTTGCAACGCATCATCCTTTTTTTTTTTCACTCCTTGATGTTTTTCATTTGGTTTGAGTCTTGTTGAATCCCAAAAGGTATCCCATACTTCCAAAACAATATTTTACTCTGATTAGAGGTTTATTAAATGATATTTAAATAATTTGAATTATAAAAAACATGGAATCCTATTTTACAAGTTACAAACTTGGTGATCTAATTGGATTAGTCCAATGATTGCCTTAATTTTAGTATTAATTGTGTTTTAGTAAGGGCGATCTTACATCCTTAAATTCAAGTTTGTATGCCATGCACTATGGTATGTAGCATCCTGATTTTCTAATCTTGTAATTAGCTACTGATCAGGGGTGAATTAGTAACTAGTAGATGATTTTAAATTTGGATGATCACTTGATAATTTGAGTCTTTGGCGTGTTAATTGAATAGATACATATGGAAGAACCATATTTCAAAATGAAGCGTATGCGTGCTGTAAGGATTTGCTTCACTGTGCTATGCGCCGCGGCACATGGTACAAAAAATGAAGTGATAAAGTACGTGTAAAGCTCATGAGTTTAGAGGGAAAAAAAGAAAGCATGACAGGAGAGAGGAGGAAGACATCTCTTTGCTAGGGATTTTGTTTGTTGGAGCTTGAAAGAGGTTTTTGATTGGTAACTTATCGGGTAAGTATCATAAAGCCCTTACCTTCAATTCTACTATGATTTCTTTTAATATGAGTTATAGGAAATTAAATCGAAGGGATTTCAGGGGTTAGTTTCCTACCGTATAATAATAAAAAGATTCTTGGGAGTTAAATTAAAGCTTTGTGACTGATTTGAAGTTAAACGATAGAGCTTTGAAGTTATAGGCTTCAATTAACCCTAGATTAAAGGAAAATGGGATGGAAATGGAGTAAAAGTAAAATAGGATCATTAAAAGTGATAGAAAGTGGTGATTGAGGAACAATGAACTTAGAATAAATAAGTGGAAAGAAATGGATGGTTAGTTATAGCCTTAATTGATAATTAAGTATTTTTGGTCAATTAGATCAATTGACTAATAGTGCCAATTTTGTGTAGATTGGTGTATTCCATATATAAGTTGAAAAAGGAAACTCGTAGAGAGTTTTAGTAGTAAGTAAAAGTCCACGGGTAACCTTTATAGTGACAGAAGGGTTGAGATAACTGAATAACTTTCTCTTTATTTGATTGTCTATTATAATTGTATGGGAGTATGATTATTATTGCATGAAAATGTTTTTAGAATAAGCATGTTTGTCAAATGAATGTTTAATACATGAAATTGATTTTCAATGAACTAAGTTTGTGAATTGCGTGCTTTGTGATATATATATATATATGTATGGTTTTTATACATGTGTGGATTGTGGTGTATGTGAAAGCATGATTTTAGGGGTGGGAGTTCACCCATAAGGAGTAGTAGTAAAAGACCATATGACATATTCTCCTCAATGCCTAACAGGGTGCGGTATTGGAAAACTATATCTCTTTAGTACCTTTTTAGGTTGTGATGTTGGAGATTTGAACTCCTTAGTAATGTAATGTAGTGTTGGAGTCAACAGAACTCTATTGTGGTAATGGGGGAAACCATAGCTTGGAAGTAAGATAGAATGCCTTTGACTGAGTAATTTTACGACCAAAAGTAAGCTCAGGGCCAATGAATGTGTATGTTGGTCTGAGGTGAGTCTATAGTTTTGAGTAGGGGTGATTTTGAGGTTCAGATAGTAGTGATCATGCTATGTGCTATAATTATGGTGAATTGTGAAAATAACTTGTGAAAGAGGTGGTGAGTGGTGAGATATAGTAATGATATATTGATTTGAAGTGAAATCCTTGTTATATGCTATGTTTCAATATATATAATACTTACTTATGGGTGCATGTGATAGTCAGTAGTAAAGAGTTATTCTATTATTGAGATTATTATTTCACTCTATGATTATTTTTTTAAAGGTCAGAGTAGTGACCAAGGCAAGGGGAAAGATTCAGAGTTGGCTTAGTTTTGGTAAAGCCGTGCATCTAAGTGTTTTTGTGTAATGAACTCAAACTAGCATGAATGTTGTAAATACAAGTTGCCATAGGATTTGCATGTATATTTTGAATAGTTATAAGTTGTGAAATGTTGAAAGCAGTAGTGACTGTGTAAATCTTAATCCTAATGTGTGAATATATGGTGAAATGAAAATTTGGAGCTAAGATTTAGTTGTAAACATAATGCAAATATGCTAGTAGTGAATATGAAGTGAATTTGTTGTGATATTGTGGGGAAAATGGCCAGATGAATGTTTTTGTGTTAAGATATGAAAATTTATATTTGTGGAAATGGGTTGTTGAATGACCAAATCTTGATCTATGTACATATATGGTATAACATATGGTCAATCAGGTGTATTAAGTTTTTTTGGACTTAGTTCAAGGCCTAGAATGATTTAATGAGACAATGTGATTGATTTGAGTGCTTGGATGCACTAAATTTTATAGAAAAAGTATCTTTTTACATCGAGGTGTCCAAATTTAGATCAAACTTTTGGGTTGTGTCGAAACTTATCTCATTAGCTAGCTTATGAAATAAGCTTCATGGGAGCATTTGGACCACTTCGATCAAATGTCATATGTAGAAACGGCACACGCTGAAAGTTTGTCTTATGAATTGTCATATGATAGCAGCATGAATTGTCATGTGCGCCGTAGCACATTACGTGTCACGTTACGATGTATGGTACAGAGAGGTTAGCTCATGTCTCTGTACCACATGTCGCAGCGCATATGGTAATGCTATGCATGGCTTAGTTTTTTACTTTATTTCTTTGTTATGCAAGCATGCATGGATTTTAGTGAATGCATAGGTTATTTTCTATTATGTTATGCTCTATTTTGTATTGAGTTAGTTGAGAATTTTGATGATTTTCAAAATGAGTCTTGAGCCCGATCTTTTTAAATAAAGTATTTGAATACAGTTTGGTTTTATTATTATGGTGATTAAGTTAACCTCTTCTAATGTCAAGTGGTTACATGGTGCATTTAGCATATGCCATGACATGTGGCATGTAACCTTCTCCTATAGCCACTTGATACAGGAGAAGATTAATAAAATCATCACGTTAAACACACCAATTAGTAATCAAATATTTTATTTAAAAATCTTAGGCTTAAGACTCATTTGCAAAAT